TCTCCCTAAGACAATGGGATTCTCCACCTACAGCCAAATTTGTTCTAATTAGCTGGTTCTGAGGTTTGCAGTGGCAAATCTTCTGGAAGTTAATCATGCTATTTTGAGAATACCTGTGTCTTGCCAGCCTAATGAATGTACATGGCGATGAGAACATAAACTATTTTTCATACCACTAAGAAGACTTTATCCCCAGTCCTTGTCTCAGGCCTCAATTCCAGATTTGCTTTGTTTTTAGTTAAATGATGTTCATATCACACTACCATGAGTGTTAATTTGGTGGCTTTAGCTAGTAACTGAATTGTTCCCCACTTAGCTTAACCCTGATGGAGGCATTTTGTTATGTTCAGGAATGTCTTTTTGATTCTTGACCTGTATGACATGGGAATGTTTCACACCCAGTGCTTACGTTTTCACTTGAAATGTGTTTGGATGTGACATCTTTGCATAGGTTGAAGGATAATTAGGCTTCTCTGTATCTGTGCAATCTGAGTGCTGTTTGAGTCTTGATCCTCATACAGGATGTCTTAACCTTATTGAATGGTAAGACTGGGAGAGGTATTATGTGACTGTCAAAGATTCAGAAGCCCTGAAAATTCGATTGCTGGATATTGAGATCCACATACAAAAAAACCTGTGGGTAACATTATGTGATCATGACTGATATTCTGTTGTTTTGACAAATATTATATTACCTATTCAAATATTCAAATATTTCCATAATTGCAGGTTAAGTGTCCCCTTTAATAAGTTCTCCTCCTCCCACCATCAACCCAGCTGCCACGATCCATCACTAGGAACACCTCTGCCTTCCAGAATTAATTTTCCAGATGTTCCCCAAGTCCCTATGGATGATCTGACTCCCCCTAGGTTGGGGGTAATGGTGTATAGGTGCTGTATAGGTGATTAAATATTTTTATTCACCACTGTAAGGATTCTTTCATGTTGCTTCTGGGCACCTACCAAATGTTCGAAACATTCAGAAAAGTCCTCAAATCTTAGAGAGGAGGTTTTATTTGGAACAGTAAACTTATTTAGACCTTAAGAGGATCAAGCCACCTTCATCTTGATGAATGTCATATTCATTCCTTTCTGTTATCTATTTTCTGGAGGTGAATAACGAGTTGGGAAACTACATTCTTGAGTGATGAGTCAAAATGGAAGCTGATCTTTGGAAACAGAAAGCCTGATTTGCCTCCAGACTTTGCACCATACTCTTGTTTTTAGATTCCAGTTTCATTAGGTTCTCAAAATGAGACCCGGGAAAGGGAGGTGAGAGCAGGTTTTAGCTATACTCTTTGAGATGCCTTTAGGGCCCCCTAGTGGCTATTTTAAGACAGATTTCTTAGGATTAGGTCTCCTTGACCCTGATTTAAAAATCTGAGACCTTTTAAAATCTCTACTCTGAAGGAGCAATAACTGTGTGGAGATAAATAGATGACCACTGCTTGAGAGGATTCAATATTTTCCACTTCTCAGTTCTTTGCAAAAGCAGTGCAGATGCTTTGGAAATAACAGATATCATGGTACACATTTTATGCTGAATTCCTCACACTACATTATATCATAGCTGAAATCCTTTTAAGACATTTGCTACACCCTGGTGTTTGTCAAAGGGGCTATAATTCATAAAAAAGTACATCCTACCCTAGGATATGTGTGTCGACAGACATATATAATTGCCCACGGTGGGGCAAAGGAATTCTTTAAATGTGGGGCTTGGGGGAGGCTTGACATGTCAACTGACAGAAGAAGTCAATTTGTGTTTTATTTCAGGACAAGATTTTTATCATTTAGATCATGAGATCTACCACTGACTTTAAAACTTTGCAATACAGTACTTATAGAAAAAGGTTTTACACATTAAAGATGCAAAGATGCTTATTGACTGATGCAAGTAATCTTTGTGAAATCCCCTCAAATGAATTATGTCTTCAGTGTACTTCACTGACCAGAGTGATTATTGCTTCCTCCCCACTCTGGTCTCATTTCTTTTTCTAAAATCCAATCTAGGGGATGCACTATACTTGAGTAATTGGAATGGAGATTCCTCTTCTCCACATGCTTCTCTCTTGGTTTCTGATGCTATTTTTTCCTTTCCTTCTCCTTTGCTAGTAAATTTCAGGTCTCTCTTCCCTTCCTTAATTTCTTTACCCATATTAATATGCTAATATATTGTAATAATGCATTGTACACCACTGATGAAGTGATGCAAAGCAATGAATAGAAAAGCAAGCCCCAGATCTTGCTTTAACTTTACCCAGTTCCGGGGGGGGGGGGGATAGGCGTTGTAGAAGGAAGGCGAAGACAGTAGGAAGGACCATCAGCCCCACAAAGAATAAAAATGATCCCCTTGTTTTCTGCGCATATTAGAACAGAGCTGCTCATCAGAGGAAGAACAGAGCAGCTTTCGAGCTAAAAGGCTTGGCATTAAACTTTGACACGTTAATGGTGCCTAGGATATTAGAGACTATTTTGTCATATAACGTTCTCTATAACGTTCTCCTCCTATTCGGTGATGGCATCAAAATCAGATCCGATTCCCTATCTCTGCAAACGTGCATAGTGAGACTCATCCCTGCAAAGATAAGACAGCAGGACCCCAGCTTCGCAGTTAACTTATCCCGAAGCTCCTAATGAAACGTTTTTTACTTCTCCAGGGACTCTATTGTGCAAAGGCTACCTACCTTCTTTTCTCTTTCTCCTCGGCTGCTTCTGCCAGTGAGATTAGGTAAACTATGCTCCCGGGTGGGAAAGAGCCCTCGGTGGCATGTCGGGGATGGAGGCATGGGGGGGGGGGGTGGAGGAAGGAAAGAGTGTGTGTGGGGGTGGGGGTGGGGGCTCCCTTAAAGCTGCTTAAGGGAGCAGGAGGAAGTGTCCTGACTGGGTCAAGCTAAAGGAGAAGAACCCGGTTACCCAGACTGGAGCCAGGAGCGAACAGCCAAACACAGGAGCCCGCAAAGCTCCCTGGTCCCCAGCCTGACCTCTGGGGCATAAGGTCAGCACGACAGCCAGAGCTCCCCACGGTTTCCTCACGCCCTCCCCCTGCACTTTATCATTGCATTTGCATCCTTCTGCACCTTCCAAGAACTAGGATGCGTTCAGGCTGCCTCTTCTGAGTCCCAGAGCCTAGAGGGACTTGGAGGCTAGGGTGAGAAGCGGCCACCAGACCTGTGGGGGTGTGGTGGGGACCCGGGGGAGAAGGGGACCCCTGAAGCCTGGGACCGAGTTGAGGCTAAACCTGGGAGCTGGATCGAGCGCCGGAGCTCCGGTCTTCCCAGGCAGAGTTGTCCAGCCCGGCACGTCCTCTCTCTCGCCCAGCTTTCAGCTTTCCTCTCCTCTGGGTTCCAGGCCCCCTCCTTCCATCCACCCCTCCCCCCGACCTGGCCCCTTGGCCCAACCAATTCTCCCTCTTCTTCCCCAGCTGGAGAGCACTCTCGGCGCCCCACTTCGTCCCGAGGGCTGGGGGGCTGGAAGTCCGTTCCACGGATTGTTGCGCGCGAGGTTCTAGTGCCAAAAAGAAAAGAGCAAGAACGAAATCGGAACGGGAAGAGGGCGTGCTGTGCGTTCTTGGGGTGGGAGGGCGAAGAAAGGCAGTTTCCCCGAAAGACTACGGGGCCTTGGGCCGGATTCTTGGACACCGAGCCCAAAGCGACGCTCTCACAGCCCTTCGCCCTGGCTTCTCGCCGCCCCAGGCTGGCCCGCACCCTGCCCAACCTTCCCGAGAAGCGGCGACCCGAGTGGGGCGCGGAGGCGGGGAAACTTCGTACTTCCCACGACGGCTCTGTTGCACGCAGGGAGTGGATGGGTTGCTCGGCCCTGCGAGCTTGCGAGCGTCTCTACGCGGCAGCTGCGCACCGGTCCAACGTCCCTTCCCCCTCTTTCCGCGAGGCTCGCCAAGCTCGAGGCGGCCGGGAGCGGCCGGGGTGGGGGGAGAAGGGCGGGGAGCTCCCAGCTTGCACCCTTTCTTCCCGACCCGGGCTGGAATCCCGGCTCCGGGTGTTGCTTCCTCCTTTGTGCGAGCGAGCAGGAGAACTAGGAAGGAGGAGCCTCGCGGGGGGGCGGGGCCTAAGCGGGGGCGGCCTGTCGGGCCGTGCGGCAGCGGCACCGGCTATTGGCCCGTCGCGCGGTCACGGGGTGGGGGAGGAGCCAAGGCGGACACTGGCCCCGCCCCCGTTCGGAACCCGGCCGGACTCGCGGTCCCCCCCAGCTGCACAGACATGACACAGACACACAGTCACTGCAGCTGCTGAGACCGAGAGCCCGGCGC